GGGGGGGGGTCTGAAATGAAAACAAAAGTGAGGGCTGGACCAGCGGCTAGGTCATTCAAAAAAAAAAAGTTGCTGAGGTTGCACCCTCAATCGATAGAGTTTAGCTAGAAATGGCGCTGTGCAAAGTTTGAGTGCTGTCCGACAACGTTTACCCGGCTCGGATCGGTATTTTCGTTTCGAGCCTGGAGAGGACGTCAGAGGGACCGCCATGTTGGAGGCGCCGCTGCGCCTATGTGGTGGGGCCAGCGGAGATGGCTTCCGGCACAAATCTAACCCTATGGACTCTACTTCTCAACCGGCAAGAAAAATCCGGCGTGGCGACACGCGCACCGCCTACAGGGGCGCAAGTGCCGCGGCGGACGCACCTCGCGTTTTACGGCACGGGCTGACTGTTTTGGAATGTTTCTTTCCATGGATACCAAGTCCACGCCACCCTCTTCCCAAAACCGTGAAGAACGCCGGGTAGCGGCGACGCGAACACCGCGAAACAGAGCCGGGAACGGGGTGGGCCCAGCTGGGCCCACACGAAATATCATGGGCCGACGCTGGGCCCGACCCACTACTAGTGCTCATAAAAGTGTTGAAAAATAACCGCCACCTCACACCAGGTAGGCAGCCTTAATGCATGCATGTACGGATGTTGCCTAGTCAACAGGCGGAAATGAATGCCAGGCGTGTTTTTGCAATTTTTACCCTTGTTCCAGGTGGGGCTACTTGGCAGGCGATACGTCATTCGAAAGGTTGCTGCATTTCCTTCACATTAGTGAAAAGAAAATCCAAAGTTTTCCATTAGTTAGCTATACAGCGGGATTTGCGCGGACCGAGACACTTAGGCCCCTTGGGTCAACGGGGTGACGGTGGCAACGGATTTTACGTGCGGGATGTAAAGTAGACACCCCAAGGTCACACATTCACCGCGGATCCATCCCGCTGGTCACGCGCCGCGTCCGCACCGCGCCCAACAATGTGCGAATCTCGTTCGCGCGCTTTCGGGAGCAACTCATAAAATCGCATTGGAGGACTTCGAAACGTTATCCGATTGGCCTTAAACTTGGCACAGGCCTACACTGACATGTTTCACACCGTTGGACAACCGAACCACGACATCGATTTTTAGCAGATGATACATCTAAAACATTACAACTACAGTATAACTATAAATGACATAGATGTGTCAGCATGCTTGTACTCTCAGGCAGCAGTAGCGAGCTTAATCAGCGGAGTCAATCTATATAGGAGGGTAGCGGAGGCAGGAGAGAGAGACAGCGAATAGATATTTGGGGCAGAGGCGGGACTGTGTTGCTCGCGCCGTCGCCCCGTCGGGCCGCCGCCGAACTTGAGCCGACGCCGAGCCGAGGCAGGGCGTGGCGACAAAAGCGCCCCGGCGCCAGCCTCCCGCTCCTTCCTAGCCGGCCAGCTCGCCTCGCGGCGGTCGCGGTTTCGCGCCCCATTGTTGCATGGTAGACGGCACAGAAACAAACTCGGGGTGAGCGGCAAATTCAAACTTGCTACAATTCCACAAGCTGCACAGACTTACATGGATCAAAAAGAAATAAATGGTACAACTTATACCCGTGTCCGTTTTAAATGTAAAGTAAAGGTCGATTCCGTTCAGAACTCCTAGCCGCATGTCTTTTTTACTCCCTCGCTGGCGTGCACCCGCGCGCACCATAAAAATACACTAACAATAATTATTGTTAATAAATGTTTCGTCAATTAACATCTAGTATCATCTGCTTCCACGATTCGTCCCTTGACGAAGCTTTTTTTCTTGGACACCCTATGTCCCATGGGAATAACATTGTACTAACACTGAGCTCAGGAGCTGTGTCATAGGAAGCTATGTACATACAGTAACAGTTTAAAACACATCTCTACATAAAAACAATTATTTTGACAAGAAATTCATTGAGTTAATTTAAAATAGTATTTTTAATCAAAGTTGAAGTAAAACTGAAAATGTCATCGAAAATAGATATTGATACGAAAACGTTTCTCAGGACGGGCGTAAACTAACGATATCCCTATAAATCAGTCCTCTAGTAAGTCCAAGTAGGTGCTCCACTTGGAGCAGGCGGGCGGCGACAGGGAGAGGACCAGCCTCCCGGAGGGTGCTGGCGTCCACCTGCCGCGGGGGGGCGCCCCTCTGCCAGGGGTCCACGCCGACGGGGCAGCGGCTGGCGCGGGTGGACTCCGGGACGTACGAGTAGGGGTCGTCGTCTCTCTCCACCGCTCCGTACTCCATGCCCTTGTGTTCCCGGGCAGCAGGCAGGGACGCCACTTGAAGGAGGGTTGGCGCTGCGGCGCCGGTCTGTACGAGGGCGAGTGGCTGCGCCTGTAGGCGTTGAAGGACGGCGACGCCCTGCGCTCCTCCTCGTCCTCCTCGTCGTAATGCTGTCGCATGAACATGCGTTCGGACGCGTCGAACGGCGACGCCGAGTTGGGGTAGTCTCCCCACATGTCGACGCCGTCCTCGTCCCAGTGCCGGGAGGAGGGCGATGTGGGCGATGGCGGGGTGCGCGCGCCGCCGTCGTGCCAGGTGTCGTCGTTGTGCTCGCGATAGCGCGGCGAACACTGGCGGCTGCGGGCGAACAGCACGGCCTCGCCCTCGTCCACGGCCTGCATGGCCTGCATCACGCTCTCCGCGGTCTCCTCCCCGACGAAGGGGATGTTGAGCTCGTCGTCCAAACGCGTCCCGAGGAAGTTGTTGTGTTGGTCCTTCCCTCCCAGAGCGGCTGTGCTGTGCCTCCGCCCCCAGGAGGGGCCCGGCATGTCCTCGTCGCTCAGAAACGTCGGGGATGGGCTGGAGGGAAAAACGGTATCATCATGATAACTGCAGTTAAAAACGACGTGTTTACTCACACATGAGTGTGGATGAACACACTTCAGGAACGGAGGAGAAAATGGACTTTGACCCACACCCACCTGTCGTCGTAGAGCTGGCCGCGAGGTGCTTGCGGCGGGATGCTGCGGGCTCGCGAGGCCGTCACGCAGAGCGAGCCGGAGAAGTCCCCGTACTTGGTGCAGGGCCTGCCCAGACAAAAATTCCCACATGTCCCA